GGGGCACACGGGTGAGAGGCTGCAGCCCCGGACCCCGTCCCCACGGGCGAGTCGGAGGCGGGGGCGCACGGGTGAGGGGCTGCAGCCTCGGGCCCCGTCCCCACCCACGGCCGGCCCTCCGCCAGGGTCCCCACGCCAGTGCGGGAGAGTCGCACCACAGGGACCCCGGTGGACCCCCAATGCTGTCGGGGCGGTCCCCGCTCTCCCCTGCCAGCTCACCCGCAGCGACCCGCGATCCTGAAGCGACACCGCTCCCCAGCTGCCCTAGATCCTGCCCTGGCCCCCGCCAGCCAGAGCCCGCGAGCCCCGACTTCTGATTGGCCCCTCGAGATCCCCCGCCGCCAATCAGCGCACAGTACTGGGAGGAGAGGCTGGGCCGCGGACCGCCCCGCCCCGCCCCGGCCGGCGGGATCGGGCATCTGATTGGCTTTCCACATCCCTGCCCCGCCTTCTCTAGGTGGTCATCCACTCAGAATCCGGCTACCTCTTACGAAATTGAGATTCATGTTTCTGATTGGCTCTTCGAGATTCTGCCCCGCCCCCTGGCGGACAGCCGCTCGGCCGGCTTTCTGCTCCTGAATGGCACCTGCAGTTGGGTCCAGCGCCCCCCGCGGCTCTGCGGGCGGTTTCCCCCGGGATTCGGGGCGTCCTGCTCTCTCTCCCCTCGCCTTCCGTCCTGCTGCCGCTGGAGCCCGTTCCCCGGGGCCGCCTTCGCCCGCGCGGCCCGAGGAGGCTGCGCCGGGTCCCGCCGGGAGTCCTGCCGCGGTCCACACGCCCCTTCGCCCAGGCCGGCGGGCCGAGCAGCAAATGGGGGCGGGGGGCGACGGGGCGGCCCCGGCTTCCCGGACCGGGGCCAAGGTCGGGCCCCAGTGCCAAGAGCGGGGCTGGCAGTCGGGCCGGAATTCCTGCCCCGGCGGCCCGGTCCTCCCCTGCAGGAAACCGCCGGGTGCCCGCTGGGCGGGGGACCCGGGGGTCGGGGCGCCAGGCAGGACTTCTCGGCGGGCCGGAGCTGTGGCCTGCGGTGCGTCTCCGTGGTTCTGTCGGTGCCCCCCTCCTCCGGTGCGGGTACATCACCCCCCTCCCCCTGCGGGTACAGCAACCTCCCCCGGGGGGGGGGGTCCACGTGGGACCCTCTGGCCTGGTCACCTAGGGGTTCCCCAAGCCTCTGTCAAGCTGGCCTCCTTCCCAGGTCAGTGAAGTTCTTCCCAGCTCCGCTCTCATCAAGGATGATGGAGGCCCCCGGGGCTTTCTTGTCTGGAAATCCCTTCAGGGTGTCAGACCAACTTTGATTCCCATTTCCCACAACCCGAACGTGACTCCTACTGGCCTCTCAAGGCCCTCAGCCTGCTGTTCCCCAGACAGCTCCTGACTTCCCTCCACGGGTCTGTCTACTCTCTGCTCTTCTTGGGATGAGGGGATGGGGGTGTAGACTGAACCTGGAAACTTGAGAGATGAAGAGGCAGGGCTACCAGGTCCACACCAGCCCCTTTCCACCCACAGTGCCTTCTTTAGATAGACTGTTTTGTAACCTGCCCTTTCATTTTTTTTAAGTAATCTCTACCCCCAGCGTGGAGCTCGAACTCAGGAAGGGCTGCAACCCGAGAGGCAGGAAAACAAGGAAGCGGGGTGCACAGGTGGGGAGGCTGCAGTCCCGGACCCCATCCCCACCCGGCCCTCCACCAGGGTCCCCACGCCAGTGCGGGAGAGTCGCACTATGCTTCAAGGACTGAGCCCCCCTTTCACTTTAAATGCACAACTCTTTGTCTTTAATAATATCCTCATACATAAATCTTTTGTGCATTTCTAATCATGTCCTAAAGATACACTGCTCGGTCATATTCCTGAGTCCAAGAGAATGAACATTTCTAAGGCTTGTAATACATGCTGCCAAATCATGTTTTTCCTCAAAATGACAATACTGGATATCCTAGTGAAAAAAGCACCAATCTGGTAAAAAGATCCTGCCACTGTTGGATTAACAATTGTTAATCCCCACCTGGCCACCTGGGACAGGTAAGTAGTGGCTCTCAGAGATCAGTGATCAACACCTGGAGGGAAACAAAATGAACCATTTGCAGACGTGACTTTATAAAATGTCCCATAACATGTAACAGCCCGGTCTCCTTTAACTGTCTGTTGCAGGTTGCTTAAAAGGGTCATCATCATCACCATACAAGCACATTCTGTGGGGACTTACTTGTGTAAGAGATGTTGCAGTTTTGAAGTTATACTAAACACAAGCTTTTTTACAGAATGGTATTTTGGAAAATGTATCAGACAACTCACATCAAATCAAAACAAACAGGCTGCAACTCACCTAATTTATAACTAAAACCCCGAAGTGGCATCAAGGGAGAGCTGTGAACACTGATGACACTTCCCTGGACTCCGGTATTCTATCAGCCCGTGTCGGCACGAGCCTTTGTAATGCACACTTCACAGAACACGGAATTGCAATCTTCAGAAAATTCTTAGTAACGTACCAATCTTGGTTTATAAATACCAAAATCTCTACCCCGAATGTGGGACATGAACTCACGACCCTGCGATCGAGTCGCATGCTCTCCCGACCGAGCCAGCCCGGCACTCCTATGAATACCAAATCTTAATAAACTTTAATTGCTCACTTAGGTTGCTAATAAGAGTGGTAGAAAGGGCAGATATTTTTAGGTTACACACCATTGTTCCAGGATGAAGGCGCACGGCCCTGCCCCCAGCTCTGGCAGACTAATGAGCGGCCATCGGGAGGAGGAGGCAGCTGATCCCAACATTAAGAGGCTCATGAAAACATAGCATCTCCATCCTGCCTCCTCAGGAAAAAGCCATTTCCTCCTGTAATTCACAGCTAATAGCACAAGACCACCAATTCAGTCCCAGACGTTGACTTTAACATAAACTACCTGCATACGGAGATCATGGAACGGAGGTTACGTGCGGTTCAACTGTGGAAGGACCAGCTCCTTCATTACATCTGTATGTGATGTGTAGGTGCAGCAGAGTGCTTTAGGACACACAAATTAGGGGGAACCAGGACCAGGGGGTGATTGTAGAAATAACATTTTCAGCGTGATATAAAGTCTATTTAACCATCCAAATGCAGCCAAGGGGGACGGGGTTGCCCGGCACAGTAGACCGTCCCCATCTCATGCATGTTCAAGAAAAGGTTGCCCGGCTGGCTATTATCTGTACCAGGGATCCCGCTTTGGGTGAGAGAACAATCTTTTCAACTGTAAAATGTGATTCCACGGACCCGAGAACCCGTTGGGACAAGACTTGCATGGAGTTCGACCTCCCTCATGCTTCCCATGAGGCTACCCTCCCGAGATAAGGGGCCCACGATCACCCCGGTTTCCACTCCCATTGGCCCCAGACTAGCAAGAGGGACGGGGATGACCACGGCTCTTTCTGGCAGTCATATCGGGAATGACTAACCTCGCAACATTTACATAAACATCCTTGAACAGGAATTTCTGGATGCCGTCCTATTTAAGTTATGGTTTTATTTTCAATCACCACAAAATATAACAGAGATACGTGATAATACAATTTTCTTTATTAAAAATAATTTACAGCATCAATAACATATACACAATTGTCATCAACTGAACTTTGCCTCCAATATATTTTTATACAATACTTAACATTATTGAACTTAAAACTGTTACACTGTTTTGTTGGCTTTAAATAATGGACAATGATTTCTAGTTACTTGAGATACATGGGTTCATAGTCATATATTATATGTAAAATCGATAGAAACATCGGCACTATCACACTTCAGGGGAAAAAGCCTAAGTCCGTCTGCTCCCCGTTTCATTCCTCCAAGTCCACATCCAGTATCTGAGCACCTTCTCCTAAACCTAAAGGCAAAGACAGGTGTCTTCTAACAATCACAGAAAAACGTCAGTGCAATTGTGTCTCCTCCTCCTGTCACCCACCTTTGAGAAGGCGCACATGCTCGCCACGGTCCCCGTATGCCAACCACGCCGGCGCTGGACACACTCTTCCCACAGAGCCGGTACGGCCGACGCCCCGCCACGCGCTCAGCAGTCCGGCCACGGCGACCGTGATGCCCTCTCGTTCAGAAACCGACGACCACCGTCGCCTCGGACACGTTCAGCTGTGGTAACGCAGCGCGGCGCCTGGACAGAAGCCCCTCTAGTCTGGTTGTCCAGGAGCAGCAACACCAGAAGGCAGGAAACGTGGCGACGGCAGGCGGCATCGTTTTCCAAGATGAAAAAAATGCTGCTCTTGCGAATACTTCTGGAGCCGTACTCCAAATCACAGCACTCGTTAACTGCTCTCACGTGCCTACTGTACTTCCTTCCACAATATCGTGCATCTTTCCAAACACCAAATGACCCAGGCACAGTCAACAAAGGCGGTAAACCAGTGAAAGCACGAGATGTCACCTCTCTGCACACAGAGCACTTGGCCAGGGGCAGGAGCATACGGCGCACACTGGGGCACACACCCAGACTCTCCTCTCCGACGCTGGCCACGCTCCCTGCTCCGTTTTCCGGTCTGAGGTCTGCCTGTCCTGGTGCTGGACTAGGCAGAGGGAAACACACTGGCTCTGCTCAGAGCACCAACCGGCACCAGCCCGGCCTCCTGGCCCGGCCGCTGGAGCCCCTGCCCATGGCCACGCCTCCGCCCATGGCCACAGATGACACAGACGTGTCCCCACGCAGATGGTCTGAAGCCACCGCCTCCTCCAAGCATGCGACAGCAACATTAACATTCGACTCGTCACTCCCCCTAATTCATGTTTTCATGTAAATTAAACACATGCACGGACAGATACACGGGCGAAACAACGTATCAAGAACACAGTGTGAAAGTACCACAGAAAAGAGTTATGAAAAATTTAAATAAAAAAGGGAAATCATTTTCTCAGACTCCAGTCCACGTGATTGTCTGAACACAGATTTGCAGACTATTTTCAGAAGACTGAGATTGTGTGAGTGCTTCTGTGCCAAGTTCTCAGCGGTCTGCACCTCCTGCTCTGGTAGTTTCGGCTAAAATTCTGCAGAACACAGTCCTTCCTTCTGTGCAGGACGTGGGATGACCAAGCCGCAGCAAACCAACTGGGTCAGAGGAAGACCTCCACATGAAAGAAAATCTCTACGATTAACCTTTTGCTAAGCTATGTTTAATTTCTTAAATTAAAAAAAGGCATAGAACTTTCTGGAATTAATTATCCAACCTTTTTCTTAAAAGTCGTCAAACATCTTGTTGACAGAACAGACGTGTGTGGAGAAAGTAGGATATCCAGACAGCAACAATTTAAGTGTTTTATCCTGATAGCTTTGGTTAAAACAGAAACATAATTAAGAGAATCATGCATCCCAGGTAAAATAAGGACTCAAAATGACGGAAAACCAATTTTTAAATAATGAAGAAATAACTAACATTTAAAAAAAATGCTTAGAGTTGAGCAGCAACCATATAATCTAGGGTGCATAATTTAAAAGTCTAGCGGAAATCATTTTAGCATTTAAGATTAAGTTCTCTTTAGCAACTATGAAAGTGTGGAATTTTGGTTAACAATCCCTAAAATAATAGGTTACAGGAAGTAACGGTATCACATCAAGTGAGCACAATGCTTGAATCCAATTGCTAGAATACCAGGTGAGGCCGGCCAGTGGGCACAGGAGCAAATGAGTGAGCGCGGTGGGCTGTGTGTGTTCACTGTTCAGACATCATGTGACCCAAGCCCCCTGCCGCGTGTGAAGGGCCTGGGCCAGACAGGGCACTAGGACGACCCCGGCTTACACTACAAGCTGTGAACGCCAACCAAGTCCAGCTCAGGTCTGAAAGTCCATTTGTAAATCAGATTCCAACTTCCACAATTTTAGAGTCTAACCTGGCTTCTTACATTCCAACCTGCTAGTCTTAAACCAACAAACAGTGGTATACAGTTTTATGGGTGCCAAACCAAACAAACTTCAAGAAGATTATTCATGTAAGAATCTTCAACACAAGTTCAAATTCTGCCTTTATTTACAAAATGGTCCGTTAAAATACCCGGTACTTACAGGCCTCTCCCACAGCACACCTCACACGTTGATTTGAGCAATGTTAATAGCACCATTCGTAGATTATTTAAAATCAGAAAGATTTCATTTCAGTCACTATGTTGATTCATAATCATTTACACCCATGGTGAGATCGGTGAGTGCACAGGACCGTCTGCAGCTCCAGGGCGAGGCTCCCTGGATCCAGCATAAAAGGCGTTACTCGCAGTTACCAGTTCTCAAAAGGTATCCGTGTGGAGTAGATACTATGAGAATTTTCGTGCCACAAAGTTTAATAATCCTCCATGTTTGTACAACGTTACTTCCACGTCATTTTCAAACGAAGCAATCACGCTGAATACTTTCCCAGTGTTTGTCTTTAAACAAACAGAAACATGTCATGTGAGTGATAAAATCGTCCAAGTGTCCCCAGTGTTCAGACCATCTGTCTTCATACCCCATGACACCACCTGCCAGACTCTGCGAAACCCTTCTCCTGCTGGAAAAGACCTGCTATATCTAAACACAGGCTTCACAGCCAAGTAGAAAAACGGGTATTTTCATCCCTACTTCTTATAGGCTCCACACCCAGTGCAGAGCCCAATGCGGGGCTCGAGCTCATGACCTGCACTGAGATCAAAGGTCAGATGCTTCACTGACCGAGCCGCCCAACACCCCTTCGTCCCCATTTCTGAATGACAAGTCCCGTATCACCTATGACGCTAAACCAGGTGCTGCAGACTCTGACTGACTAGTTAGGGACGTTACACCCACTGCTCACGTCCACTTTGTATTAACCATTCAGCGTGCGTAATGTCTGCTCCCCCGTCCCTGCGCTCCGCCCAGCGCCCGCTCCACTCTGCGCCACCACCCCCCCCCTCGCGGCTGTGTGCCTGGCTGGATTCCAATCCCACGGGCACGGCAGCAACGGGCAGCCAGGCAAAGGCCGTGGGTGCATGCCAGCGGGCAGCCGTGTGTCGTCTTGTTCTCTGGACTAGCTAGCGCTCTGTGTTTCCTCAGAGTCTCCGCTGCATTAAGTCGGGCGTCACAGGAAACAGCCACCTTAAACCACAATGTATGTTCGCTAAGTCACGCTAGTGTGCAACGGACGATCGTTTCTCTCCAGCTTCCACCTAGCTGGGTAAAGAGTGTGCAATCGCACACTTGAGAATCGGAGAGGTACCTTTATAGTTAACGTAACTCCAGGAGACAGTTCTTCAGGAAACGCTAAAGAAAACGTTTCTCTGCCGGAGAGGCCCAGGGAATCTGCATTTTCTCCCGGAAGGAACTGAAGTGGAGCTATGCCAATTCCAATCAAGTGATCTTTGTGAATTTTTTCGTAACTTTCAGCCAAAACAGCTTTCACACCCTGTAACAAATGTGCATTTTATTTCTTCCACTCAGCTCTTCAAAGTTGCTTTATTGGACCATTTTCAAGGGAAAAAAATTCTACTTTTGGCTCCTTCTATAAAACTTGTTAACCTAATACCACACACTAAAGGTCCGTGCTGTGTCGAAGTATGTACAGATGATTCTTCTGTATTTTCAGGCAGCTCCCTAACTTCTTCTACCCGCCCCTGTGCCCTGCAGTGCTGAGTCAGCAGCACCGGCCAGGTAAGAGCACCCTGGGGGGGCGGCGGCCTGGCTCCAACGGGGCTCAGCAGGGTCTGTGATCCTGGCAGACCCACATATGTGCTCAGCAGCACTCTCCCTTGGCCTGCCACACGAACACAGAAACAGAGAAGGGCATCCCACAGTGACAGAGGAAACAGGAGACGTGGATTCTACAAATATTTAGAAGCTAAGTGACCCTGAGCAGACATCCAACAACAGAAACCATCAAATGAATGTAGAAAGCGACACCAGTAAGGTTTGAGTCCATTTCCAACAACAAAACCCTGTCCTCTGGAGAAAACAAGCCAGAGAGGCTCCGGACCCATGACTGTCAAGTTTCCCTATGTCCTCCTATGGAACCTTTCCCGGACCTTCTCCTCCAGCCATAAAATTTCCCCCTGCTGCTTGCCCTAAAATTTTAACGCCACACACACAGACCGTGCATCTGTTTAAGTACTACGTGTTCATCTGTACTCCATTTACAAAGAGAGTGACATGTTGTTACCACCCAGGAATCAATTCTCAGCCCTGTGAGTGCCATCGCCTGACAAGAATGGAATGGATGCCCTGGACTGAGGGGGCACTGGGCACGGGGAGGTGGGGGGGGAGTACGCCATTGGAAATGCGCACTAAGTGCTGGTCTGCGTCCCTGGAAGTACTCCCAGACACGGCACATGGGGCTCTCCTAGTCCAACAGGTGGGTTACCGTCCACTCATCTACATAAGGCCCATCAACAGACAAAACCCAGCCAACACCCCCAGCCTGGAAGCAGTGTTTCAACGTCTAACTGAATAGACAGTTTAGGAACAAGTATGAGCGAAGCCTCCAACATAAAAAACAAAGACAAAACTGTGAGAGAAAAAAGGGAACCTGTACCTGTAATTAATATTCACAACAGGGATAATTGTCATCTCAGGAAGACGGGAGAATCTGGCTTATTCCTACAGCTCCTCTGAGTATTTACCTTCTGGGGAGGCTAAGGACTCGACAATGGAGTGTGCACGATCCTGACAGCTGGGAGGGCGGCTGACCGGCCGCTCTGAGCGTTTGCGAACAAGCACCGGGGCAGAGAGCAGGAGCGCACGTGCCTGACGACCCTCTCCAGCGGCCCCCACCCCTTACCACACTTTAGCAAGGATGCGGGGGCCAGACGAGCCTTCCTGACAGGCGGCCAGGCACCATCAGCTCCTACCCCGTGGCCCACCTCTGAGTCTGTTAACCCCAAAAGAGAAACCTAAAGGCAGGGGGGCAAGTAAAACTCTCAGTGGGCACAGAGAATCAGCATTCCAGAGGGTCCGTTTAAGACAGGGGCCTCCTTTCCCTCCACTGTACTGATTTCTGCAAGTAAGACCGATGGAGATCTAATCTAATCCAGAGTATTAAAACGCAACTAGATCAGTACAAAATATTGTATGTGATCTCACCAAAAGGAGTCCCAAATAAGCAAAAAAAATCCAAATGAGCAAACTAAACTCTGACAGGGTGTTACTGACAAAAGGGAACATTTAGAACTCAATTTTAAGAAGATAAAATTGAAGTATCAATACCAGCAGATATGGTCCTTTGGCAGCCCAGTCTCTGGAATTTCCAGAACCATATTTTTTCCCTGCTAAAATGATCAGCGGGACCCCTTCCTTCTGGTACAGCTCTGCAGCCTCAAACACATCCAGCTGTGGAGAAAAGACAAACAGAACATCTTCAGTATGAACCCGGATCCAGGCAGCGACTGCCCAACGGCTCTGTGCGCATCCTTACCGTCTGTCCTGACGGGAAATGGATTGTTTTGGGAGCTGGTTTTCCAAGGAACTTATTAAACAGTTTGATATTCGCGAACGTGCCTCTTGTCATCACAGCGTCGTTGCCTCTGCGGGCCCCGTAGGAGTTGAACTCACGAGGAGTAAGGCTGCGAGAAATCGTGAAGCTGGTTTCATTTCAGATGGAAAACCATCACACATTACTGGATCATAAAACTTACTGAGAAACACTTTTTATAATGGAAAATTTTGAGCACGTACAAACATGGAGAAAACAGGGGAACAGTGAATGCCCAACTGCCCGTTTCTTCTAGAATCATCCCCCAGTGGGTGATTTTGAAGCAAACGCAGGTAACATATTTTCAGTGCATGTATCTATGTTTCTCTAAAACACCAGCCAAATCTGGAATCAGTCATCTCTCCAAGAAGCACTGGTTGTCTGTACAGGTTTCCGCTGAGGACAGAGCACCCCAGGAAACCTCTCCCACGTCGAAACAGCATTAAGGGAAGAGTAACCACCCCTTTCCAGAAATTCACATTGTGCTGTCTGGCTTTCACCAAAACCCCATGCGACACGAGGATCCTTAGATTTCTTTCAGTTAGTGCGAACATAAAGGTGAAGCACGAGGTGACCTCGCCAGTGGGAGTTACAGCGGCAGCACCGTAACCTGGGCGGGGGAGGGTGCTCGTTGCTGCCTGGTCACAATACGCGTGACCTTTTAGGGACAAGAAACAACGGAGCATAAGCAAGAATCAGCAAACAAAGCAGATCAGTCTCTAAGTCGGTCTTTTACATAAAAAGGCAGTAAGTTTTCTAAACTTGTATGTTTAAGCTTCTTACTTCAGGACAGACGTGATGAGGAGTTTAAAGGACCCCAAAAAAATCCTGACTGATGAAAACTAAGAAATCTGTATTTATATGTTAGAATGTAGTATACAGCAGTTACATATTTGAGAAAAGTGGGGACATTTTTTGGTGGATACTAGGTCACAATTATGACCAAGATAAAAATCATGACCAAAAAGATTTTATTTCTCACCACCACAAGTAAAAGCCGTGTGTTTCAAGTTCTAGCAAATGGAACTGCTATTAGCAACTTCCACCAAAAGGTGTTTTAAATTCATACCAGACTAGTTAACCAGAAAAAAAATTCCAACACAAATTCCACAACAGCACCAATGAGATTGTGAGCGGAGCCAGGAGCATCATTACGCGAGCGACCACGCCACGTGCACCGAAGCGACCGTGATGCAAAGTCGTCGCCCGAACAGCTCTGGCATCTGAATGCTGTCCTAACTCCGCCTCTGGTGTCCACACAGCTTTTGACAACAGAGCAACTCCACATCAATCACGTAGAAACGAGATAAAATCTTTCTAAGCTTAGAGTTCTAACTCCCACATCAATGATGTTTACATTCTCTTCTATTATTCTTGTAAAAGTTTAGGCTCAATGGGCAGAAATTCATTGAGATCGAGCCTACCTCACACACACTCGCTTTATTGTCCACAAAACACACATTTAAACTCTGCACTCCAAAGACAGGAGGAGCCATCAGGGTTCACTTGGAAGGTCAAACAAAGCTGACTTCTCAATAAAGTCATATTGGGGAAAAAAAAAAAAATCTTGTTTCCAATCAGTTGTTTATTTAGACTACCAAGGGCTCGATTTAAAATAGCAATTTCCATTTCTAAAGTTACAGGCAAAAGCAGGTACACCAGGTACCCTGGCTACTGCTGACGTCAGATTCAGTGGTGATCAGGTCCCTGTGACGGCGGCCTACATAGCCGAACCCCAAATGACACGGGGTACAGGCGCCAACTCAGCACACCATCGAAAATCTGGGTATAACTTCTGACTCCCAAAACTGAATACCCTTCTGATGACCAGAAACCTTACCGAGAACATAAAGTCAACTTAACACGTATTCTGTATCATACGTATTACATCCTCTATTCCTACAAGTCAGCCAGAGAAGACAAAGTGCTGAGAACATCACAGGAAGAAAAACTGTACTTATGGTCCTGGACTGGGTTTATCAAAATAAATCAGTGTATCAAAATAAATCAGTGTAAGTGGGTCCAGGCGGTTCAAACTCGTGCTGTTCAAGGGGTCAAATCCATTTACTGGGCAGGGAGCGTGACCAGGAGACTCTGAATCCAGGAGGAAGGGGACATGCGCACCCCGGGGCTGCGTACCCACCCTCTGTTTGTCAAGTACTTGGCAGCGGCGCTGCTCCTGGCGATGCTCCCCGCGGGCGATATGTGGTCTGTGGTGACCGAGTCCCCCAGATACAGGAGGACATGTGCATTTTCAATGGGCTGCAGGGCAACTGGCTCTTTGGTCTAAAAGGCAGAAACAGTGAAAGGCATTTACTCTTCATGAGGTTTTTTTGTTCAATAACAACCTTGAAAATATCAAAGAGTGAAATCATACTTACAAGCTTATCAAAAAATGAAGGACATCTGATGTACGTGGACTTTAAGTCCCATGGAAACAACACAGAATCCGGTGCTTCTAGGGAATTCCAACGCTTATTTCCCATCTGTGAATGTGAGTTCAGTTGATGAACAAAAAGAAAAGATAAAATGGAGTCAGACAAAAGAGGCTTATGAATGTGTTCAAGGGAATTAAAAAGTCCTTACGTTAGAAGGACCTATAAAAAGGCCTTCTTCATTGGGAAAGGAAGCTAAGATAGTGCCATTCTAGAACATGGCATTTTTGGACATTTGCTCATCAAACTCCAGCACACTAGATTTTCATGAATACTCTGAGATTAAGTTTTAATATAAACTGAACATAAAAGACTTTAAAAAATCCAATAAAAGGGTTAAGGGTTTAGAAAAAGTGATTCATGTAGTAAAGAAACCGTGCTGGGGGACGCGCTGCTCACCTTCAAGAGCATGGCTGAGAGAAAACCCTCTGCTGCTGTGAGGGTGCGTGTTTTCCCCACACGGTCCCCCCTCAAACCCCACACGACGTCTCGCCGTGGTTCTGCATGGCCACCACGACCAGCGGTCCTGTGCCATGGCCACCTCGCAAACGGGACTGCTCCAACCCGCCAGCCCAACTCTGTGCATCCTTTTTATTTAAATTTAATTTTTCAAATTTTATTTTAAATAGACTCCACACTCAACGTGGGGCTTGAACTCACGAACGAGATGAAGACTCCCCCACGCCGACTGCGTGGGCCAGACGCCCCTGCTTCTGTCCCTCCCGTACAGCCCTCCCCCGCCATGTTCTCCACATGGACACAGAGCAGTCCTCCTGAGTTAGCAAGCCTCTGTGCACAACCTCGCAAAGGCTCCCGTCACTTCCTTCAAGACTCCATCCACGTTAATCACGGCCTAAAACCTCCTCTGTAATCTGAGTCCCCGCGTCTCCCCAACACCAGTTCCCACCACGGCCCTCACTTCCTGTGGGTCAGACACCCTGGCACCCTCATCAACGGTCCCTCTGTGAGGCCTTCACACATTCACTCTGCCCGGAAAGCCCTGCTCTTGGTCCAGATGTACGGAAACTTGGTCACCTCCTGCAGAACTGTGCTCAAGACACATCCTGTTTTCGACCACTCTAAGTAACTCTACTCCTCAGATTGTGGTCAGCTGGCTCTCTTGACCCTGCTCTGCGGCTCTCCACACCACCTACCACTTTTTAACGTATTGTGTGATTTGCCTCACAATTCTGTTTACAATTCCCTGCCCACCTCTCCCCATGAGAATTTTGTGTTTTGTTCATGTATCTATTCCAAAACATCTAAGAGTGCCTGGCATGTAGTAGGGGCTCAATAAATACTTGTTCAGTGAATACCTTTGCAATCTCATTATCTATATTCTCAGTTTTGTTTTTAAAAAGTGTGAATATATGTATTTGCTTGTAGGTGCACAAAACCTCTCTGGAAAGATGCCTGAGCAAGTGACGTGCCTCAAGGCCCCTGAGGAGGCAACACAGGCAGCCAGGGGGCAGGAGGGAGACTCCATGCTTGCTCTTACTTCTTCTGAACATTGAGTCATCATCTAATGGGAACAACAAACAAGGTCCGTTTCTATGAATTCTGCCCATATTCAGGATGCTTGCTACCCATTTCTAATAAGTAAATAAGACCATTTTTTTTCCTAAAGATTTTATTTGAGGGAGAGAGTGAGCGAGAGCACAGCTGGAGGAGGGGCAGAGGAAGAGGGAGTAGCAGACTCCCCGCTGAGCAGGGAGCCCGATGTGGGACTCGATCCCAGGACCCTGGGATCATGACCTGAGCCGAAGGCAGACGCTTCACCGACTCAGCCACCCAGGTGACCTAAGATGGGTTTTAATACTCTAAGCTATTCTCCCAGATATTAGAGATTCCAAATACAAAACGATTATCACTTATTATAACCTGCATGTTCAAAATAATGTGATCAATTTTTATTAAATCCAGAAAGACCCATGAAATAAAGAAACACTGCCATTTATTGAACTACTTAAGAAACAAGTGAGCCTCTTACCTCCATTTTCTCTTTCAGTGCTTTAAACATGGACAGTACGACACGCTCTTCCTCCATCTGGTGGACCTCCTCTCGGCTGGGCCAGATGTCCTGCAGGTAAATGCTCTTGCCAGTAGCGTCGGTGCCTGGAGAGAGCATTGTAACATCAAAGTCAGTATAAAAGTAATTCCCTCCAGGGGCACCTGGAGGGCTCAGGTGGTGATCCTGGGGTCCTGGGATGGAGCCCTGCGTTGGGCTCCCTGCTCAGCCCGCTTCTCCCTCTGCCTCTCCCCCCTGCTTGTGCTCGCTCTCACCACCCCCAGATAAATAAAATCTTAAAAAAAAAAAGTAATTCCCTCAAGGTGTTCACATCTTTTCAAAAACCTATCCCAGAAACCAAGTAAACCACTCAATACCAGACTGCTTCAGGCATAAGCAGCTAAAAAAACAAAGCCTTTGTACACTTTATATTCTTCATATGAATACAGAAACGAATGACTGCATGACAAGATTTCCTGAAGTAATTCAAAGAGTGGACAGTCTAAGAAGCATTTCAGAAATACAACAACTTCTGGAGCAAAAAGCGTGTGCGGGTACGTTTGTGTGATAAACGAATGATACCTAACGGCTCCGTCTGGAAGTCTATATTCACTGTGCCTGCTATGGCGTAGGCTACCACCAATGGTGGGGAGGCAAGGTAATTGGCACGAACACAGTCACAAAGACGACCTTCAAAATTTTTGTTTCCAGATAAAACTCCACAAGTAACCAAATCACCCTGAAAAAAAATACATATACTCAATTTAAGAGATGGTACAAATTCGGATAATCACATACATGCAATCTCAAATATTCTATGTCTGAGGGCAAGATAGCCAAAGAGCATACTTCTAATTATTAGACATAAAACTATCAAATCCTATGAATGAACTAATTCACTACATCTTTAAGGGATTATTTCAAGGATCTAAAAATGATTCTTTTAATCATTTTAAGATTCACTCTTCCTAAGAGGTGTAAGAACCACAGAAATATAAATACATCAATATATATTTTCTACCATTTAACAACACAATATATGGTTAAGAAAACCCCTTACCTGTTTGACTGCATTTAAAACTGCTTCTGATACGGGTGCTGTATTTCCCACGCAGGTTGAACAGCCATAGCCAACTATTTCGAATCTGTATTTGGATAAATACACGTGATTGAGTGGAAGGTCGTTAACGACTGTAAAGAAAGGGCCAGCCGGGTCCCTCACTGCCATCCCAGTGATGAGCTGCCTGAGCGCACACACCCACCACGCGGATTAACCCCCCTCAGTCTGTCTGTCTGACCGTCAGGCGTGCTGTCTGTACTGAGTGCAGGAACTCTGACAGAGCATCCCCAAGTGCGATGTGGCTGCCTAAATCCAACACAAAACCTGTACGCCGCACAGGACAGCTCCCCACATACAGCTGGAAGATGACCGTTCAAGAAACGGATACAGAGCTTCCATCCAGGGTTAACCCAGCGGCAATGGTGAAGCCTACGCCTCAGACAGACGGGGCGGTAGCTGGGAACGCCAACGCCAGCAGATCTCTTAATTCTCAACCCGCCAAAAACCCAGAGAAAGCCCCTGACAGAAATCCCACGACAGTACAACTAAGAAATTGCAGGTATAACTCTCAAAATTACTTGCAGCCACTCTTCTAAAAGCAAAAAAAGTTTTCTTAATTTACCAGTCTTGCAAAGGAATTGATTTTTCTAAGATAACAGGCTCCAAAATACACAGCCGGCACCAATTATTTCTTTTGAGTCCATGAGAAATGGTAAAGTTAGTTTCTACAAAGTTTGGGGACAACTTAACCCATGCTTCACAAACCCAGTAACCTCACAAAAAGTCAATTAAGACAATTTGGTCCATTAATGATGCAGCCATTTTGCTCTTGATGCTGTCACATTTTGCTCTTTCTGAAAACTGACCTCCCCGATCAGAAACCACGCACCCCCTGGAGCCGCTCCTGAGGCACATCTGTCTTTACATCCGCACGCCAGAGGCCGCGCTGGGCCCTGCTGCTCCAATCTGCTCAGTCCATGACCATGGAGGGCTGAGCCTCACACTGCGACATAGTGGAAAGGTAACAAGTACAACAAAGCCTATGTTTCCCATCTTGTCTCTGCACGTGAAAAGGCTCTGACAGGGGCTTCCCTCCCTGCAGAATCCCAACATCCACGTCAACAGCAGTGACCCGCACTTACCCGAGCTGACTGAGATACGGTAACACGCCACTGGAACTGAGATAATGGGTCACCATCCCACTGCCTGGAGATAAACTTGTTCTTATGTATGGCTTAACCTGCAGACCGGCGTCCACGGCCTTCTTAGCCAGAAGACCTGCACGGTGAACAGTGACGCAGGCCAGGTCAATCTCGTGCAAGGGTTGAAGTCCAAATGCATGAATTTACAGTCATTATTTTGTCCATTTTACTCTATTGATGTGTTTCATTTAAAACACACACAAGATTATACTGATATACTAGCCTTTACTTTGCAAATTCAGATACAGCCTGATGTCATGGCATCACACACACACTTGGAAAACAAGGACATGTAACGATATTATGTACACGCACAATACACATCACGACCCTTTCAGATGCCATCGTGATGGCAACTGCACACTTATTCCACACGACTGTATACTATCAGTGAGCGGTGTCCACTTACAACCCCCGCCAATAATCTCTTCCTTCTCTTCTCAGTGGACTCGAGTGCACTGCTGTGGTCAACTGTCAAGAGATTCGCTGACTGACTACACTTCTAGATTAACAGAAGCAGGTAACAACCGAAAACTAACAGACATGTAAGTTGTAGTAAAAAAAAATTTACCATCCGTGTAACGAAAACAAAATTAATAACATAAATCAAACTGAGATTCCTTAAGACCCAGTTAAAATCTCGGAAAGTGTCTCAATATTAAACAGACACCGGTATCCACGCATAACCTAAGACACAAGGTGAGTGTGGCAGACTACAAACTCACTCAGGAAAGGGAAGGGACAGCCTACCTGCGGCGAGCATGACGGACGGATTACAGTTGTTGGTGCAGCTGGTGACCGCAGCCATGACCACAGACCCGTGAGACAGCTGGTACTCACTTCCTTCGTAACGAATAGAGACGTTCTCCTTCTGCTTCTCGGCCGCAATCTGGAAGCCTTTAAATCCCACCTACACAAACATGCACATAAATACAAATATTCTGGGTACGCTCAGACAAACTTGCAGTTCTGACCACGCGTGAGAGGTGCTGAAGGCTGCAACACTCAGTTGTTGGACGTCGGCTGGAGTAGGAGCCTGAATGGTCCCGACACAAGTCTGGTGGTGTTCCTAGCTCCCCGGGATGTGGATCTTACCGACCGCGGTTCTCAACAGACGGTACAGTCACGGCCCTGTTCTGGGGGTGTGTGCAGAACGCACGGGGCGGGGCTGGCTACAAGCCGGCAGCTCTGTGCTCATCACGCTACGTTACTCCCACACAACACGACGACACACGGCAGAAAGCAAGCTCTGGAAAGAGCACCAGATCCTGCTGCTCCTAATAAAAGAGTTCAGGTTTTAGCTGTGATTCTCACCAAGTACAGACCCGGAAAGTCAGAGGTCACGGCTGTTCAGTTACATTCACCAGACGTTACGGGCGTGAGCTCATAGTGCAGAGTTCGACAACAGTGCTCTCCGCCACAACGCGAGAGCCGTGACCATGGGCAGCAACTGAGCGCCTGAAATTAGGCAGCTGTGATTACGGACACCACTGACGTCTGACCCTCACAGCAGCCTGGGGACAGTGCCAGATGACTAGCTTCCGACAGGACGGGGCCGACGGGTCCTCTTGTATGTGCCTCACACACAAGAACACAGCAGCTGCCTGAGGTTGAGGCCCATGCTGGCCCTCCGCCACCCAGCACGAGAAGTACTTGGCCCTCTGCCACCCGGCACAAGAAGTCCTTGGTCCTCTATCACCCAGCACGAGAAGTACTTGGTCCTCTATCACCCAGCACGAGAAGTCCTTGGTCCTCTGCCACCCAGCACGAGAAGCACTTGGTCCTCTACCACCCAGCACAAGAAATACTTGGTCCTCTATCACCCAGCACGAGAAGTACTTGGTCCTCCGCCACCCAGCACGAGAAGTCCTTGGCCCTCCGCCACCCAGCACGAGAAGTCCTTGGCCCTCTATCACCCAGCATGAGAAGTCCTCGGTCCTCTATCACCCAGCACGAGAAGTAGTCGGTCCTCTATCACCCAGCACGAGAAGTACTCGGTCCTCTATCACC